GGGCGTTCTTCTGGAACCTCGTTCAGCCCCGCTGGTGCGTAGCTTGTGCGTTTTAGGGGGAAAAGCTTCTGCGTGTTCTGCGGCGGCTGGTGCTGCGGATGCCTGCAAATGCGGGTCTTCTTCTGAGAGCTCCTGGACCCCTTTCGTGGGAGTTCTTTCGACCATGATTTCAGTGCGTTCTTGACTGTGTAAAATCTAAGCCCCAGAATTTGAAGTAAAGAGAGGGCCCTATAAAGGCAAAAGCTTGCCTAAAGCTTGAAGCCTTTTCGTGAGACTTCTTTCCAACATGATTAGAGTGTGCTGCCCCCAATAAATCCTTCGTGGGTGCGCGTAAAATACAGCAAATTCCCTAAAGCGTAAACCTTGAAGCCTTCTCGGTTTCGGGTTTACAGAAGGTTTAGGGATTAGGGTTGGGCTTTGGGCAGAAGACTGCAAAACCCCAGGAAGCAGCACTGTGGCAGCCTACACCCTTTCTGATTGGATAGAAGGATTAACGCAAACCTGAGTACATGGAGTAAGACCGCATTTATTTCTGGGCCCTGGTAACTGCAACACTGCTACTTGTGCGGATGGAGCAAAGCTTGCGCCATATACTACACCTTATATGGGAATAATAGAACATTTCGGTTCTCCTAGCTGGTGCAAGATTTCTTCCATCTTTCTTGAACGAAAGAAACTTTCGAGCAGCGCCAGAAGGTCCCCTATCTGGAACTACCACTGCGAGTGAAAGCGGAACGCAAAGTAGAGTATTCTTGCTTGATGTGGGATGGGAGCTCAGCAAATCTGTCTCTCGGGAGCGGTTGCTGCCTCCAGCATAATCTACCTCCAGAACGGTTCTTTCTCCACCAGCCACTGCAGTAGAGAACTACGTGGCCTACCTGTTTGCCTGAGCGCAACAGATGAGGCTGAAGCGACCAGCCCTTGTGAAGCGGGCAGCAGCCCCACTTGAAACGCCTCTTGGTTTCCTTGCGGGAGCGTGCCGACTCCTCCACAGCCTCGCGAAGCTCAGCAAAGTTGTGCGGAATGTACCCTGCCGGAGGCTCTTCGTCCACTGGTGCATCCATGTCCACGGAGTCGTCGCCATCCCCCACAGGGGTATCCACGGACTCCTCGCCATCTCCCACGGAAGACTCTTCAAGGTGCTCGGGGTCGTCACTTCCTTCCAGCATGTCCTCACTTGGAAAAGGACGCAGACAGCGTTAAACCCAAACCCTGAATCCTAAAGGCCTGAATGTCATAGACTGGTGTGGGTTTAGGGTTTAGGGTTTAGGAGGGAAGCTAGAGGTCATCCTCCCTGGCTCTAGCGGAATGTGGAAGTCATCTCTTGAGCATCATCTGCCATCTGGTCCGCCAAATGCGAATATACGGATGCAGAGCCCGGCCTCAGTCAAAAAAAATTCTGGACAGCCCGTGCTTTATAATAGGGAAAATGACGGGAGGTTTACTCCTTAGGGAAAGAAAGATGAGCTAAAGGTTTCCTAGTGGTGGGTCGAAAGAAAGTCATGAAAAGTGCCCTCAAGTCTCCCACTGTTGCTGTCACTTGGAAGCGGTGCCCCAAAGAGCGCAGAAGAGGAGAGTTGCTGAAAAGCCACGTAGCCATAAGACATGTCAATGATCTCAGCATCGTCTACAACGCTGCCTCTCCATATCTGGTGTGGAATTAGGGTTTAGGGTTTAGGGTTTAGGGTTTAGGGTTTAGGGTCTAGTTGGAAGCGAAGATACCAAAAAATTGCAAACTATTTCGCACGAACCCAAAGAAGCCCTTTGGCACTGCCTGCTTCTGATGAATCCAACTCTGCAGGGTCGGATTTCTCATTGCAGGACACCTTCGCAGAAAAGCAAGGAGGATTATTGTTCCCAAAAATGGGACGTGCCCTGGGCGTTTGCCGATATGCTCTTGGAACACGGAGGCAATTATGGTTTGGGCATGGATGCAATGGAAAGCGTATGCTCTTGGAACACGAAAGAGATTATGGTTTGGACATGGATGCAAAGGACAGCGTATGCTCTTGGAACACGAAAGATGTTATCGACCGTATGTTCTCGCAGCAGGAAGGAGATTATGGTTTGGGCATGGATGTAAAGGTAACCGCATGCTCTTCGAACAGGAAGGAGATTATGGTTTGGGCATGCATGCAAAGGACAGCGTATGTTCTTGGAACACAAAGGATGTTATGGTCCGTATGGTCTTGCAGCACGAAGGAGATTATAGTTTGGGCATGGATGTAAAGGTAACCGTATGCTCTTGGAACACAAAGGCAATTATGGTTTGGGCATGGATGCAATGGAAACCGTATGTTCTTGGAACACAAAGGATGTTATGGTCCGTATGCTCTTGCAGCACGAAGGAGATTATGGTTTGGGCATGGATGTAAAAAGGTAACCGTATGCTCTTGGAACACGGAGGCAATTATGGTTTGGGCATGGATGCAATGGAAACCGTATGTTCTTGGAACACGAGAGAGATTATGGTTTGGACATGGATGCGAAGGACAGCGTATGCTCTTGGAACACGAAAGATGTTATCGACCGTATGTTCTTGCAGCAGGAAGGAGATTATGGTTTGGGCATGGATGTAAAGGTAACCGCATGCTCGTCGAACAGCAAGGAGATTATGGTTTGGCGTCCAGGGCGCAGCCTAAAAATAGTACCCCTTCGTTACTTGAATATCGTGCTAGCAAAGACTTCCAACAAACGTGACAAGGAACCTCGGACGACACGCCCGGTGTTTCTCCCCAGTCACTGCAGCACATCTCGTCGTCCGACAGAGGAGCGTAGAAGATTCCATCCGAGCTGGACTGCATCATCGGCGGCGCGGAGAAATCCCACTCATCCTCTGCAAAAAAAGCCAGGTCATCTGCGCTGTACTCTTGGAAGCCTCGCCGCATGCGATTACGAAGAACAAAGCCCGCTGACATCACAACGGGATGAGCTGCAAAACGCCGTGCTGCAGATTCCCAGAGAAGCAGGAGACTGCGCCTGCCCTTAAGGAGACACAACCAGTCAGCATACTTTTCCTGCCACATTGCCCATCGCACTGCACAGGCAGCTGAGTCGAGACTGTTCAAGCACCACAACATGTGATGCTCGTCCAACTCTGCCCCTGGCATCGTCCAGAAACGGACCATCCCCGCTGGAGCTGCTGCTGTCGTCAGGCGCAGCAAAATGAGCAGCGTCAGGCACTCACAGATTTGCCATCGCACAGAAGGATTCTCGCACATGGCACTCTCCATGTCTACGAATGTATTAGATGCAAGGTTGAGAAGCCCTGGGTGCTTTACTGCAGAGTGTCTACGCTGGTCGTGCAGAGTCTGAGAGTTTCCTGCGTGCGCTGCCTGTCTCTGGACCCTGTCTTTCTGTTTGGCAACACAAACTCCAAATTAACAACAAGGCAAGCCAAACGCTACGCATCTGAAGACTTGTCATGCTCATATATTTGCCTCCGTAACCTCATCTGTTCTTAGCAATGGACGGCAATTCCCTGCAAGGAATTATCCCCCCCCCACCCCCCCCCCCATCCCCACTAAAATGTCTTCAACCACACGGCCTCTTACAGGCGCCGTCTCCTTGTTTTGGGTGCTTACATGTATGGGATACATGGAAACGCATGACTCCCACACGTCCAAGGCTTCAAGCCAGCTTTGCTATGGGGTTTCAGAACCCGAATAGGTGCAAGACCTACTTGCAATCCTGGAAAGAAAAGTGAAGCTTTCGTCAAACTTTCCGAGCCGCGTGCGAGCAGACTCTGAACCGCACCTGGATGATCAGATTGAAGATTCACATTGGGGATTTGCCACATGTTTGTTGCATGCCCGAACTTTGACTACGGCATTGTTCCCGAAATCACAAAGGCTCACACCACCTTCGAGCCAAGGTGGTGCTTTCGTAGAGAACGGGGTATTAGTAGTATCACTTACAGATCATGGCGATGTAGGGATGATAAGGGCAGAGGGATCCTTGGCATGGGGATGCATCCCGCCGCCAGGCCCTGATGCAGCTCTTGGAAACAGGTCTGGGCAACGAGCGTGCTGATCTCGGACGGCGATTCCCAGGATAAAGCCGCAGCTTTCATTTCAGTTTCCATTTTCTGTTCCATTCAAGTTTGTGATCCGGGGAACATCTGGTATAAACCCAACTATACCTCCAGTTCCCATTCTATTTTCCATGTTCTTTTCCATTTGGTTCTCCATGGTTGGTGACTATAAACCCAGTTTTCAGTCCGCTGTCCACTATATTTTCCAGTTTGGGTGGTAAGTATTTGGATGCCCCAGGGTTTAGCTTCATCAGTCCTACAGTTCCTGGTTGTGGTGGGTTGTGGTGGTGGTAGTAGTAGTTGTCATAGGAGTGGGACTAGGAAAGCCAACAACGATGTTGGGGAGGAGCAGGCGGAGTAGTGACACAAACTGTTGCCGTAACACCAACGACGGTAGC